TTTATCCCTAAGAGGGTAAAATGCTATATCTCTTCTTTTTTGTGTGTAGATAAGATCACTTACAGTAATATACAAACTGACTATAATTAAGCACCAGCTTTATTGAAAATAAGATATAAAACTGTTTGAGATCTTTATAAATGGAGAGGATTGCCTTTATGCATACTTTAGGAAAAAAAAAATTGGTAACCTGGAAACAATGTTTTACTCAACTTTTATTATTCAAGAAGAGAATTTTTTGGTATAGTTCTCTATAAACTCCAAAAAGGCTATGATTAGATGGTTGTTAAGGGTATGTTTTAACTTAAAACTTACTGAGTTTTGCCAGAAATTTATTTTTGGCTGAGATGCTTCTTTTTGACCACTGTATCATGACTTTTTGTGAACCCCATTCCAACAGTATTCCTGTGACTGTCTCTGTGCTCTCTTCTGGCCTGAAAACCCTGATCTTGTTCAGGACCAGTTTCTCTTCTGGTCTGGTAGGGAACATCTGATCTAATTTCCCACGGTATAGGTGTGAGGCCAGAGTGTTGCCAAAGTTGCTGTTCCTGTCCTTGATCGTGTAGCGCATAGTCTGTTCTCTGCGTTGTAACAGGGAGTGGGAATTACCTAGGATGTTTAAGTAGACAGCTGTGTAGTGTGAGAGGATAAACGGCTCTGCAAAGGGGCTCCTGAACAAAAATTCATGCTGTAACTTGCGCAAAGACTGCAAGGTGCTGCCACTAGTGAGAGGATTCGCGGGAGGATGTTGTTTGTGACATAAGCACGTGCTGTACAACTGTAAACGTACTGAGCAAATTTGTCTAAGGAAGCTTTTCAACACAGAGGTCGTTGTCTTTTGGTCTGCTCAGTTTCCTGACTCCGTTGCAGTGATCGGTATTGTACTAGGCACGTATTGTATCGCGTACGGCAAATAGATGTTTCGCTAACACAGCTCACTGATACGGGTAAGGTTTATTTGTTGTGCCTTAGATTTACTGTAAACAGCATCCTTATGGTGGTAAAAATTATCAAATAATATTAACAAAATTATATTGTGATCTGCAGGAATTAAATTGGTGAGTAGAACCTCTGCATGAAAACTTATTATAAAATAATTCCTTGTATTATATACAATATTCTTTGTCACAGTAGCTTGAAGGCTTTCAAGGAAATAACTTGAAAGCTGCTGAATTCTTTAAGTTTAGACACTTAGCCATAAGCAAGCAAGCAAGTTAAACTGATTTGATGGCTGCTTTGTTATCTGTGATACTGGTTTTTGTTGGCTTGAAAAGCTGCTATTTTTTTTTTTAATCAAGATACAAGTATTGTTTCAAAGTTTTATTTGGAGTCTAATAATTTAGGTGTTTTTAATTGGATTCAGATCACAAAGAGAAATCATGGCTTCATGGGTATAAATGAGAACATTATTTCACTGTTTTTACTCCAAGGGAAATACCCCTGATTTATATCTGAGAAGCAGATTAGCGTACTCGTACTCCAGGCTTGCATCTTCCTTACCTCTTTATGTGACTTTTGCAAGTCACTTTGCATCAAATTTCCAATATGGAAAATTCTTTGTAAAATTTTTCAAGAGCTTTGGTGTGAGGTACTAAAGTGTGATGTGCAATTGTAAAACACTGTAATCCTTAGTAAAAGTGTTTTGCCACAAATTACCGGGGCAGTTGGTGGTAGCTTTTTTTTCCCGTTTCAAATAATTTTGATAGCAGCAGAAAGTACAATATACCTTCTAGAATACAACAGAATTATTTGGTTCATATTACAATTTAAAAGCTGAGTTTTGTTTAGCTACAACTTTAAAGATATCAGGAGACCTGATACAATGTATCAGAAGACCTAAGCAGAGTTCACAAACACGTTATTATTGATGGTGAATATGTTCTCCTGTCCTTTCCAGAGATATTTATAATAAAATCAGGTAATTTCACCAGTTATGCACCAATAATTTTCAGAACTCTCTAGCTCTGTCAGTTGCTTTTGTCAAGCCCACTGTGATCATAGTGATCACATGCAGTCCGACTTCCACGGAAGTGTTCGTGCTGTTGGGTGGCAGGAACGAATTGCAGTCCGAATAACTGTTGAAACCATTGTCTGTTCTCTAGAAGCAACATTTTTCCTGGCTATATAACCAATTACTCTATTTTCATTCTGCTTCCAAAAAGATAGTATCTTTTCTAGCTAACAGAGAGTAGTATTAATTTACTTTGTATAGAAGGTTGAACAATTTGAGTGTTTAGATGTAACAGACAAAACTGCTTTGTTTCTCTTCAGGAAATGAAATGATTGCCAAGAATTTGTCTCATAGTTAAATAAAAGCAGAACGGATTATTTCAGGATTTATTTAGGTAAGTGAAGTTTGAAATTTCAATCAGAGAAGTGCAGGTAGTTGAAATTCATGACAGGAAAAGCGAGACCTATTTCTGTGTTTATCTAGAGCTTTTTTTTACATTTAGGAGTTTTTATTTGAATCATCATCTTTCTCAGCCTACGTGACCAAACTTGATATTTCTCTTAAGATATATTTATTTTGGGATGATGACATCAGTACCAAGGGGTTGGTCTGATACAAATATATGGATGAAAAGAAACAGCCCTTTAATCAGTCTAGTTAAAAAAATCTCCTTGTTGAGGGTTGGTTATGCTCTTTTTTTTTTTTTTACCTGAGTTCTTTACATGTCATATATATCTGTGTGTGACTTTCCTATCAAAATAAAATGACACTCTCCCCAAGGAATGGGCTTGAAACCATACCAATATCTTAGGTCCTCCTTCCTTTTCAAATAAAGGGGTGAGGAATTCTGGAGCATGGGATTTTTCCACAAAAATATTGCATACATGGCATAATTTTATTAAGACTTGTAACAAACAACTGGTAATAGCCATGGCTGCTGTATAAGGGCTGTGCTATCCTTGAGGCCCACTCTTGCCTGCAGGCCTGGGACACCTTTTTGCCTATGGGCAGCCCAGTAAATCCATAGTTTGTATCCTAAGGTAGAGTCCCCTTGCCCTTGTCTCGCCGTGAGACCGGATTAACTCCTTTGACCTGAATAGGGTTATGCATTGTGACACTGTAAGTTCCTTAAAAGCTGCATCACAACGGAGAAACAGGGATAGTTGGGTCTGAAGGCTAATAATTTAAATTAAGCCCGCGGGAAGTTTGCCTGCTCAATTCTTATGAGCGGCTCGTGGGGTTACCTACAGGTTTGTGTGAGGTAATACGGTCTGCAGCTGGTCCAGAGGCAAAGCCTTTGTGCCATGTAGTAACAGGCAGGTGGCCTGGCTCTTGGCAGAAGAGAGAGAGAAACTGTCGGATCTGCTGGTGAGGCAAAAGGCTGTCCCAGTACAGTTGCTGTGAGCCTCCTGACTTGAAACAGCCATTAATCTTGGTAGCTAGTTCCTGCGTTCAGGTCTTTACATCCCTTTCTTAACGTAGCACCTTCTGGTGGTTCTGCAGGGCAGCCACCGCTGCTGCGGGGAGAAAGCAGGTAACGGGCAGCTGAGGCCTGGGGAGAAATTCAGGTGCAGCAGGCGCTGGGGAGAGAGAGCAGTATGCAGCAGGAGGGCTGGAGGGTGGAGGTCTCGGTGAAGAAGATGGAGCCATACAATAGCGTAGAAAAAGACCGGCGTGTGGATATGGGCTTGGAGAGCTGGGTCTGAGACGGTGAATGTAATAGTTGGCGTGGGCAGGTATTACTCTGTTTAGTATTGCCAGGCATCAGCGGTGACCGAGCTTAAACTGTAAACCACAGAATAATGACACGTGTTTCTGAAAGATCCTCTCTGCTTTGCGTATGTCTTGTGGGAGCCAAGCCCTGCTACCCTATTCCCTGCAGCCTGAGTGCGGTAGGTACATCAGCATCTGTGAAAGGGCCTGCCAAGCTTTCATTGACTGACTTAAAAACTTGGGAGTGAGAAACAGAATGTCTCCAAGCTGGATTTTTGAGAAGAATCATGTCTATAGTTATGTACTTTGGCTCTAGAAACGTGCTTGGACGCCTAACAGGCTTGTCCTGCCCGAGTTGCCTTTCCCTGCTCCATTCTGTCAGGTGCCTTGGCTGCCTTGCGGAAGGAGTAAAAAGGGTGGAGAGGACCCTGTGGCCTCGGGTGGAAGGGGGCAAGCACAAAGGCAGAGGGCTGCTGCTCGCGCAGGTGCGTGAGAGACGGGTTGAGAGAAGAGGGTCTCAGATAGCGTGTGCTGCGCACTCAGCGTCATCTGGGTAAGGCAAAACTTGTTCGAGTCGTGTATCCCCAGCAGGATAAGGGAAGGATTGGCGTGCTAAAAGACAGTGCTAGTTTGGGAAAATGCCGGTGCGATTCTCTTCATCGCTCGGGCAGGGGCAGGGCCGCTGCTTGGGCTCGCCCTGAGCCAGGACGTCGTCGTCGTCGTAAGCCGCGTTACAAATGACGAAAAGTTTATTTCTCTGTGCGCCGAATTACGCTGAGACTGTGCGGCTTTTTTCGCTTTTATCATCACATCATATGTGTGTTTAGAGATATATATTTTCTAAGCGCTATTCTCTTCATCGCTCGGGCAGGGGCAGGGCCGCTGCTTGGGCTCGCCCTGAGCCAGGACGTCGTCGTCGTCGTAAGCCGCGTTACAAATGACGAAAAGTTTATTTCTCTGTGCGCCGAATTACGCTGAGACTGTGCGGCTTTTTTCGCTTTTATCATCACATCATATGTGTGTTTAGAGATATATATTTTCTAAGCGCTAAACATGTAATTTTCTGAAAGGGAACTAGGCGGCGAGTCCCTGCCGCGCCGTGGCTCAGCGCCGGCCCGGGGCGGGC